ACCAGCTCGAGTTTCAGAAACTTTATCTATAACATTTGCCTATTTTGTAAGTCTTTCATTTAAAACACAAGTATACATTTTCCCGAGTAAGCTGAGTAAAGATATCCCCCGTTAGTTATCGGGAATATTTACATCACCCGTTTTGTGCAAAAGGAACTATAATTAATTGCTTTACTCCACATTTGTGGAAAACAGCCATTTAAACATATGTTATTAAACCTGCCACTAAAAAGGGCTTTATTTTAGATTCGCTTGTTTTAATCACTTCTATAACGTTAACAATACCTGGAGAAAAATTGATTGTACCATCTTTCTTTAGTTACATAATTCGGATAGGATTTTAGAATTGAGTCGTTTGTATTGTGTTTCAAAGTTATAATGACATCATAGTACAGATAGAAAATGTAAATAACCCTTCGTTTTGTTTATTATTTACTTTTGCATTTTAATAGTGACTCCATTTCGAGATAATAGTGATATTTTGTGTATGCACGTCACTGAGAAACCACATACATTTCAAAATGTATGTTTTCGTGTAGCCAGTTTCATTTCAATCCTCTAATAACAGAGGTCGTATACGCTTATCATTTTATGAAAGCCACAAGCACAAATAGACGCTGGGTTTGTTGGCAGATGTTGCATAAGTACAATTATTTGTAGTCTTTCGGGTCGACTAGTGGACAAAACTGTCCCTGGTCGAAAAGTAGACCAACGCAGGTACGTTTATGTTCCCAGCGGTGGTATTGAGGAAAAAGAGGTTAACAGCTAGAAACACACAAATCCCTTGCTCATTCATCGTAATATAAGAAACCCCGCAGCCTTATGTCTACATATGGTTAGTGTAGAGATCATTGTTTCGAGGAGAAGTACAAATGTGCACTTTAAAATTACTTCTGTTTCAGGTTTTGAGACAAAGCAAAATGCTCACCATAAATTCCATTGTAAACAATTGTCCAGACTTTAAAACAGTACAGACAGCAAGAGTGCAAACATCTTCACGCAGATGATTGTTATTGTGGACGGGTTAGTCCCATAGACGACAAGGGCCAGCGGTAGGGCAGAGTTCTTTATTTGAGTCCCGCCAGATGATGGTGTTAACACTCGCCCAATTCTGGAACATGTTATAATACATGTATTTGTGTCTCAAAATACAACTAAATCTTTAAGGAGCATTGCATAAACATTAAATAATACACATATGGCAAGTAACAGCTATTACAATTATGGAAAATAGCATTATGGATAAAGGGCTGCTCAAATACACATAACTACCAGCTATGGGTTGAATCAAATGGCTGGTGCTTTATCAGAACGCCTTCAATAGTGAGTATCTAAACACAATATCAAACTTATTAATGCTATGCAAAACACTAGTAAAAAATACATCACAAGTGCAATACAAATTACTTTTAAAGCAATGGTTTTGCACAAATTCATCACCAAGATATTGAACAGTATTTTATCTCAACATTCCATATACTTCCAACAATAATACTTTAAAATACCATAAACCAATTGAAATATGTTTGTACTGTTTATCCTCAATAAAATACATTACCATACATAAAACTAACCTTCAGTTTCTTCGAGACCAAACTAGTGTGTCCCTGGTGAAGTTGCCAGCCAGAATGAAAATTACTGAGCATCTTGCCTTGCATGAAAAGCATGAGCTGCAACTTACGACCAACGAGAAGGCTTCTTCATAAACTTTTAGCCAATCAGCACAGTTGGTATAAAATATGAACTGTGAACTATCTTTACATAGATGGCAAGGCTCCAAATGAGTGGTACTGAGGGTCCCTACCTCATTATAAAATTAACAATATTTTAAAGCTTATAGTTAAAACCAAACACCAAATAATATCAAAATAAATACAATATTTTCCACCCTGTTACATTATTTCATGTTACAGACGCCAGTGACACAGCTCATATTCAACTTAAAACGACACAGCTGTTTGGACCATTTCCCTTAGTTTCATGATGTTCATTCTTAAACATCCTACATGTTGCAATATCAAACGATAGGAGAACTGGCGTCGATAATTCTCACTTGTGCCACATCTAGCTGGCCATATTGCTTTGAACTCGCTGGGAAAATAACCATTATTACGACATGTTCAGTTGACAGGTCTGCGTGCAAATATAACCCCTGGCATCACGAACGTGTTTAGCATGAGCCAATGATGCACGTTGATAGTGGGCAACCTATCATGTGCGTCATGCAAATATGCTCTAATTTACATGAAGATGGATTCTGTGCGCAGGATTGTAAGTCAACCAACTCCACATCAACCACTGTCCGTCCTAAAAGGCAACTATATGGAGTGCATAGTCTTTGTTTGGTCACTGAATTATGGGGGCGTAGGGGTAGCTTATCGGTTGAATCGTTCGCTCGTCACGCCGAAGATCCGGTTTCGATTCCCCACATAGGTACAATGTGTGAAGCCCATCTCTGGTGTCCCCCGCCAGATATTGCCTCAATATTGCTAACAGCTGCGTAAAACTAAACTTATTCATCCACTCACAGAATCCGACGGCGAGAATCATTGCTCTGCTTTGCATTCATATAGTTGGAATATGTTTGAGTGCAGAATTAAACAAGTGACGAAATCATTGAGGTTAAGGAAAACTAAGTTCTATGGATAATCAACTTCTTTATTGTAATGAGTGCGACGTTTCGGTGTAGGTAATAACACCGTTATCAAGCAAGTGATACAACAACTTGAAACAAGGAGAATATACACATTGCTGCATAGTGAGTATATACAATTAACAAGGTTGATGTACATTGGATATCTGATTTCAGCAGAGGGGGTTGATGTACAGAGTGATGGATTGTGATTAATAATAATAATAATAATAACGTATTTATAAAGCGCCTAATATCCACCATAGAGATGTTCAGTGGCGCCGTGGCAATATTGGGGAAGGAAATAGTTCATATAACTTTACAGAAAGGCAGCAGTGAATAGATGGGTCTTTAGCAGAGATTTAAATGTTTCTTTCGATGAAGTGTTCCTGATTTCCTTTGGAAGAGAATTCCAAAGTTTAGGGCTGGCAAAGAAGAAAGCTCGGTTAGACAATTGGTTTGGAGATCTGTGTTCGGTGAGGAGAGAGTCAGAGGAGGATCGGAGTCTTCGCTGAGGTACATACACGGAGACGAGATGTTTGAGATAGTCGGGGAAGTTATCGTTGTAGAGGCAGTCATGAGTCAGAATGAGGATTTTGAAGGTAATTCTTGCAGAGATGGGGAGCCAGTGTGGAGACTGTAGTACTGGGGTGATATGGTCATGACGATGAGTGTGGGTGATACATCTGGCAGCAGAATTTTGGATTCCTGGTAGTTTCTGGAGTGATTTAGTACAGATGTTGGCATATAGTGAATTACAGTAGTCGAGTTTGGAAGTGCATGACAGTGCATCAGAAGTTTACAAGTGTCAGTTTCAAGGTAGTGGCGGACTTTGCTGGTATTATGGATGTTGTAGTAGCAAGCTCTACTGATGGAGGTTATGTGTGCATCCATGGACATGTTGGAATCGAGGATGACACCAATATTCCTGGCACTTTCCGAAGGTAGGATGTCTGTGTCACCAACACGAAGTGAAGGTGATGGCAAAGCAGTCTCCAACTTTATAAGCTGATGTTTGGAGCCAATGAGAAGGAATGAGAGTATGATGATTAGATTAGAGTTGAGTTTATACAATTAATGAGTTGACGAACAGTGAGATGATAATAAGTAAGTAGGTTGAAGTACACTAGTTGTGCACAAAGGGGAGCGTGGAAGCCAGATGGACAAGGGACGTATGGATGGATTACTGGCGGTAATCTTTGATTGAGTAGTGATGGGCCGAGGAGATTAAATAACCTTGATCACGATTCATGGTGGGCTTGTAGCGTTGGATGTTTATGGCTTTGAGGAGTTTCCTTATCTTGTAGTCTGCTCGGTTGATTTCCAGGATATCGATGTTGGTCCATAGGATGGCATGGTCAGGGTTGGCTTGGGTGTGGTCGGCTTTGGTGGATTTGGAGTCGTTTTTCTGGACTGACGTTTTGTGTTCTTTAATTGGTAGTGGGAGCGGGCGGGATGTTTCACCAATATAGAAGTCTCCACATTCACAAGGGATCTGGTAGACCACTCCCGAGGGGTCATCTTTTGTTGGTGACGGTGGTTTGCCTGTAGCCTGGAGGAGGTTCTGGATGGACTTGCCTTTCTGGAACATAACGTCTATGCCTGCTTGCTGCTGAAGGAGTCGTCTTATCTGGTGGCTGAATGCTGGGACATACGGGATACTTATTACAAAGGGTGTTGATTGCCTACGAGAAGGTTTATCTCTTGGGTTGAGGGTGGTTGTGATGACATTGTTGACTAACTTCTGGGGGCACTGGATATAATGGACGAAGACATGGCGGTGGTGGTTTAGTTTGGTGTCTAGGCCTTCTGTTGTCGAGCAGATGTTCTTGGCTCTTCTTAACCTGTAGAGGGTGGTTGGAGGTAAAGTGAAGGTATTAGTAGGTATGGGTGGGTTTCCTGTCGACAGTAGTGGAGAGCTTGCTGTCTTCTTTCTTTACTAGGACGTCGAGGAAGGGAGCTTGTTGTCAAATTCATCTTCCATTGTGAACTGCATACGGGGATGTTTGGAATTCAGGTGGTCGTGGAGGTGTTCAGGGTTGTCGTTGGGGTTGAAAACTAAAATATGTCGTCTACTTTTCATATTGGAGCGATGGGCGATGTCAGCAGGGCCTTGTCATGCATTTTTCCGTCATGCATTTCTCAGTGATGATAGGGGAGAGAGGAGAACCCATGGGCAGCCCATAAGTTTGCTGCAAAATCTTATCTGACCAGGTAAAGTAGGTTGAACTGATGCAGGTGTTGATGAGGCAGATTATACCGTCGAAGCTGAGGTGGGTGTCTAGGTCAGGGTGGAGGTCTTGGAGTCTTTTCCGAATGATAAAGAAGTTGATTATCCATGGAAATTAGTTTTCCTTCATCTTCTAAAATGCCTCTCAAAGAAATCATTGAGGTAGTTGAGTCCAACAATTCCATGTTCAAGTGGCTGAATCAAAAGTGTGGTCAGGATGGTTCAATAGCTTTCAGGTGATTTGGGAAATTTCCAAGTGTGACCAAAAAGCCTTAAATGTATCATCACTCAATTGAACGAGTTTGAGTGATTGAGCAAGTTAATACTGACTAACACTACAGATAAATGTACAACAGCCTCTACCATAACATCCAAAACGTTAAAGGAAGATATTTGCAAATCTACGAATGCCTGAATATATCAGTGTTCTGATCTCATTGAACGTGTATGGTTTCAGATAATTCTAAACCTTATCATGGCCAACAACGAGGAAGACGAATCTCATCACGCATTCCCTATTACTCTGCATTCTGATGGGGAGAGACATGAAGCTGTACATCAAAGACAGTCATGGAGTAGACATCTAGATTACGTGCTGACTATGGTAGGCTACTGTGTTGGGTTAGGTAACCTGTTGAGGTTCCCATACATCTGCAGCAGGAATGGTGGAGGTAAGAATCCTATACTAAAACCTATCCTACAATATGACTATGAGAACCACTGGCGATTAGTTATCGCCAGGAGCTCATTTAACACAATCCGAACATCCTAATTAATGCAGTGAATTGAGAGAACTTGCGATATATTATAAGGTCACATTAATGATGGTGTATAGGAAATTTATATGGGAGTACATACGTAGCGCTACGTCTGTGCTGTTTATGTCTGTTTATGCATTTTGCCTTAATGTTTCTCTAATAACACAGTCAGCACCTTGAATTGTAAAAGCGGCTAAAAAACTAAGTGCTCAGGTGCAACTCTGGGTGCCATCACATGAATTTTGGGGGTTGGTGGGTGTTGGCGTGACAGGCGAGGGGATATTGTTCCAGGGAAACAAATGTTATAATGTGGAGGAACTGATGTGTTTCTTCAAAATGTACAAGTTCACTTTGTTTCAATTTTTGATTCAATAGAAATAACGAACTCTATCCATGGTCACTTAATATATACAACATGCTAAGTACGCATTACTTTAATCTTCCAATATGGGGTAAATGTAAAGCAATTCAGTTAAACATTATTGTTATACATGTTTCGTAGCATGTTTTCGGTATAACACTGTTTTGAACTGTGTCTTGAGGATAAGTTCCAGCTTATCTTTTCTGAAACCCTCGAGCACAGGAATGAATGTCGCAGAGCAAGGATCTTGATAAAGTTACAAACCCACGGCCACAGTACCCTTCAGACAAGGCATTCCTACTATTCTCAAAATGTACTTTGTATTATACTTCATGTATCTTGTCAAAATGTTCATACTTACTAACCCGTGAAGGTCCGGGTTAGAATATTGATCTTCAGTAACCCATGCTTGTCGTAAGAGGCGACTAACGGGATCGGGTGGTCAGGCTCGATGATTTGGTTGACACATGTCATCGGTTCCCAACTGCGCAGATCGATGATCCTGATGTTGATCACTGGATTGACTGGTCCAGACTCGATTATTTACAGACCGCCGCCATATAGCTGGAATATTGCTGAGTGCGGCGAAAAACTAAACTCACTCACTCGCTCATTCTTTCCATGAAGTATTTCATACATGTATACACGTTCCCATTGAGCCAAGAGATGACTAAATGGAACATGTTGGTGTACTTTCAGGAGCTTTCTTGTTACCTTTCATCCTTTGTCTTCTGATCACCGGGTTTCCAATGTTTTTCCTGGAGTCAGCACTTTCTCAGTTCTCTGGAAAGGCCTCGCAGCAAGTGTGGAGCTTTTGCCCCATGTTTAAAGGCCAGTATACATTACTATACATACAATACATATCCATATATAATAATGAGTATAGGCGCTGCCAACATATATGTTAACTAATATTTGTTAACTAATATTGAGGCGATATGTGACTGTTTTGTGAATCATGCTGGATGAAATATTTGAATGTGATTTCAACGTATTTGGAATTTTTGTGTGTGTTTTCACCATGCACATGTGTCGTACTTTTGTAATACGATACTAACATACAGTTCGTCACATATGTCGTCCTATTGTAATACAATCCTAACATACTGTTCGTCCTATTGTAATACAATACTAACATACTGTTCGTCACATATGTCGTCCTATTGTAATACAATCCTAACATACTGTTCGTCCTACTGTAATACAATACTAAGATACTGTTCGTCACATATGTCGTCCTATTGTAATACAATACTAACACACTTTTCGTCCTATTGTAATACAATCCTAACATACTGTTCGTCCTACTGTAATACAATCCTAACATACTGTTCGTCCTATTGTAATACAATACTAACATACTGTTCGTCACATATGTCGTCCTATTGTAATACAATACTAACACACTGTTTGTCCTATTGTAATACAATCCTAACATACTGTTCTTCCTATTGTAATACAATCCTAACATACTGTTCGTCCTATTGTAATACAATACTAACATACTGTTCGTCACATATGTCGTCCAATTGTAATACAATCCTAACATACTGTTCGTCCTACTGTAATACAATACTAACATACTGTTCGTCACATATGTCGTCCTATTGTAATACAATACTAACACACTGTTCGTCCTATTGTAATACAATCCTAACATACTGTTCGCCCTATTGTAATACAATCCTAACATACTGTTCGTCCTACTGTAATACAATCCTAACATACTGTTCGTCCTACTGTAATACAATCCTAACATACTGTTCGTCCTACTGTAATACAATCCTAACATACTGTTCGTCCTACTGTAATACAATACTAACATATTGTTTGTCCTGTTGTAATACAATCCTAACATACTGTTCGTCCTACTGTAATACAATACTAACATACTGTTCGTCCTACTGTAATACAATACTAACATACTGTTCGTCCTATTGTAATACAATCCTAACATACTGTTCGTCCTACTGTAATACAATACTAACATACTGTTCGTCCTACTGTAATGCAATACTAACATACTGTTCGTCCTATTGTAATACAATACTAACACTCTGTTCGTCCAATTGTAGTACAATCCTAACATACTGTTCTTCCTATTGTAATACAATCCTAACATACTGTTCGTCCTACTGTAATACAATACTAACATACTGTTCGTCCTACTGTAATACAATACTAACATACTGTTCGTCCTATTGTAATACAATCCTAACATACTGTTCGTCCTATTGTAATACAATCCTAACATACTGTTAGTCCTACTGTAATACAATACTAACATACTGTTCGTCCTACTGTAATACAATACTAACATACTGTTTGTCCTACTGTAATACAATCCTAACATACTGTTCGTCCTATTGTAATAAAATTCTAACATACTGTTCGTCACATTGTATTACAATCCTAACATACTGTTCGTCCTATTGTAATACAATCATAACATACTGTTCGTCCTATTATAATACAATACTAACATACTGTTCGTCACATATGTCGTCCAATTGTAATACAATCCTAACATACTGTTCGTCCTACTGTAATACAATACTAACAAACTGTTCGTCACATATGTCGTCCTATTGTAATACAATACTAACTCACTGTTCGTCCTATTGTAATACAATCCTAACATACTGTTCGTCCTACTGTAATACAATACTAACATACTGTTCGTCCTACTGTAATTCAATACTAACATACTGTTCGTCCTATTGTAATACAATCCTAACATACTGTTCGTCCTACTGTAATACAATAATAAGATACTGTTCGTCCTACTGTAATACAATCCTAACATACTGTTCGTCCTACTGTAATACAATACTAACATACTGTTTGTCCTATTGTAATACAATCCTAACATACTGTTCGTCCTACTGTAATACAATCCTAACATACTGTTCGTCCTACTGTAATACAATACTAACATACTGTTCGTCCTATTGTAATACAATCCTAACATACTGTTCGTCCTACTGTAATACAATACTAACATACTGTTCGTCCTACTGTAATGCAATACTAACATACTGTTCGTCCTATTGTAATACAATACTAACACTCTGTTCGTCCTATTGTAATACAATCCTAACATACTGTTCATCCTATTGTAATACAATCCTAACATACTGTTCGTCCTACTGTAATACAATACTAACATACTGTTCGTCCTACTGTAATACAAAACTAACATACAGTTCGTCCTATTGTAATACAATCCTAACATACTGTTCGTCCTATTGTAATACGATCCTAACATACTGTTCGTCCTACTGTAATACAATACTAACATACTGTTCGTCCTACTGTAATACAATACTAACATACTGTTTGTCCTACTGTAATACAATCCTAACATACTGTTCGTCCTACTGTAATACAATACTAACATACTGTTCGTCCTATTGTAATAAAATTCTAACATACAGTTCGTCACATTGTATTACAATCCTAACATACTGTTCGTCCTATTGTAATACAATCCTAACATACTGTTCGTCCTATTGTAATACAATACTAACATACTGTTCGTCACATATGTCGTCCTATTGTAATACAATCCTAACATACTGTTCGTCCTACTGTAATACAATACTAACATACTGTTCGTCACATATGTCGTCCTATTGTAATACAATACTAACACACTGTTCGTCCTATTGTAATACAATCCTAACATACTGTTCGTCCTACTGTAATACAATCCTAACATACTGTTCGTCCTACTGTAATACAATACTAACATACTGTTCGTCCTACTGTAATACAATCCTAACATACTGTTCGTCCTACTGTAATACAATACTAACATACTGTTCGTCCTATTGTAATACAATCCTAACATACTGTTCGTCCTATTGTAATACAATCCTAACATACTGTTCGTCCTACTGTAATACAATACTAACATACTGTTCGTCCTATTGTAATACAATCCTGACATACTGTTCGTCCTACTGTAATACAATCCTAACATACTGTTCGCCATTAATAATGTTAATATGTAGATTGTTAAATATGTATGTTTTTGCGATGAGCAGGGGTCGGTATTGGGGGTGTTGTACTTACATCCATCTTCACGTCCTATTACAACCTGTATTTGGCCTGGCCCATCTACTACATGGTGAAGTCCTGCTCCAGCGTCCTGCCCTGGACTACTTGTGGCAACAGCTGGAACACTGCTCTGTGTGTGGAAACTGTGACTACAGCATACACAACCAATATGACGGCTCTGTCAGACAATGCATCCGATACAATCACAACAGCTGACTTGTGGGAAAATGTGACTTTATCTCACACACCAGCAGACGAATTTTGGCAGTAAGATATCAACCATGCTGTAGTGCATCCCGACAAGGGATACAAGTAATATCCACGTGGATACACATATACATTATATTAGTTATTGGAACAAGAAAGACAATAACCTCTGCTTCAGGAAATGGATCAAAATCTTAAGTCAGCAGTTACATTTGAAATTTCCATTTACGAAAACCTAAGGTACATTCGTACATGTCAATATTATTTCGCTCGGTTGACTAGTTTTGAAATGCAATTGTTGTCATAACAATCGATATGGAACTCTGAGTCTGCATAGCTATCACTTGATCGAGTACAGTACAATACCCTGTTAAGAGTTTCACTGTTTACTTGTCATGCAGGTACAATGTACTGAGTGTCTCGTCCGGATTAGAGGATGTCGGGATTGTGCAGTGGGATATAGTTGGATGTCTGTTTGGGTCAATTGCTATCACCTTTCTGTGTCTTGCCCGTGGAGTCAAGTCTTCAGGCAAAGTAAGTTGAACGAAGAAGTTGACACATAAGAAAACAGCTAACTTTACAAAATGACAGATAAATTCGTATGTAGCAAGTATTTACGCATATTATAACGAATATATATTTTTTTGTTTATTTCTAAGACTTTTTATTTCTGGAAGGAACCTTATCTTTATCACAAAATAGTGATGTCACTAGGTATGCAATAGTCACACGGTCTTACTGTCCTCCTTCGTGGGGCAGTTAATTAAAGACCTAGAGCTTCTGCAAATGATAATGCCCTGAAAAACAGCGTTACCCCTTGATAGCTGGACTGTTTATTAATATGTGTGAGAGCAGCCAATGTGTATAAGCTTCTGCAATGAATACGGAGCTGTTATCTGGTAATCTAGAAGATATTTTATCTGGATCCAATGACAGTGGCACTAGCAACTCCGCAACCATCCTTAGATCCATCTAATGGGATGGTTTCTGTTTTCTTATGTCTACCTCTGTCTTGACCATTTGCCAAAGAGGCGATGACAAAAGGTGGATGGGAGCAGATTTGATCCCTATTCTAAGTGATGGAAAGTTGGATTTCACTGGTAAGAGTATCATTTTGTGACACGTTCCAAGAATAATTTCAGACAGCGTTGCTTTAGGGATGGCCCATCTACCTCCACATCCAAGCTACGAATAGGAGTCGTTTTAAACGTTCCAAGTTGTATCAATGGATTGCATTTTCCCAACAACAGGTTGTGTATGTGACCGCACTTTTGCCGTACGTTCTCCTCATCTCCATCTTCATAGTCACGCTCTTTCAACCAGGTGCTCTTGATGGAATAATCTTCTACGTTGTACCTGACTTCACAAAAATACTTGACTTACAGGTATGTAGATGATGATGATGACACTTCTTAAATCGATTCAAACAGGTACTTCCGTTAATTCACTTCTTAAATCGATATGGCTGAAATATTGCCGATGTGACGTTAAATAATAACTCACTCACTCACTCACTTCTTAAATATGTGACAAGTTCAATTTGCTTGGTGTGAATCTTTAAAGTATTGACATTATTAACAACTATATTACTATATTAACTATGCATACAAATCAATACAATAAAGGGTCAAGTAACAGACTCTTAAAACAAAAGGAAACGCATAAGCCACTTTTAGAAGAATTTATTGCGTTTAAGAGCATTTGTTTCATGTCATTTCAATGGGAAAATGGTGATAATTCACACGTCTATAGAAAAAGAGTTCGCCAACACAACAGCAGCCTTTATTGTCGTGTTTCTGTTTACTTGAGTCCACAAGACAGCACCAAAGTCAGTACTTTGTATGGCCACTATTGGCAATAATTACTGATTGGCACCGTCTCGGTACATACTGGATTGCGGTATTCTTTACCACTATTCCTGCAATACGATGGCAGTAGTGGAAGTGTCTGAGCCGTGTTTTGACGTTGACGTTACACGTCGATCGAGTTCATCCCATAGGTGTTGTTACGGTTAATAATTTGCCGTGACAAAAGGTTTAAAGGCCCCATTTGACCACCAAGATAGAACACAGACAAGTCTAAAATATTCAATAATATACTGAGCAAACAATCCGCAAACTACAATGAATGACTGACTGACTGACTGTGTTTGGTTTTACGCCGCTTTTAGCAATATTCCAGCAACATCACGGCGGGGGACACCAGAATGAATGACAATACAGATGTCGAGTACGGTGCAATTGAGTTACAAATCTGAAATAGTTGGTCACATATATAAAATATTAACTCACCAGAGTCCTGACATTCACGGTGAGAACATATATACTGACTGAATGGTGTTTACAATGAGTGAATGAGTGTAGTTTTACGCCGCACTCAGCAATATTCCAGTTATATGGTGGCGGTCTGTAAATAATCGGGTCTGGACCAGACAATCCAGTATTCAACATCATGAGCATCGATCTGCGCAATTGGGAACCGATGACATGTGTCAACCAAATCAGCGAGCCTGACCACCCGATCCCGTTAGTCGCCTCTTACGACAAGCATAGTCGCCTTTTGTGGCAAGCATGGGTTGCTGAAGACCTATTCTACCCCGGATCTTCGATATTCAATTCAGGTATGGTTAGAAGCTTGTCTGCAGGTGTTCTACTCGCTTGGACCTGGCTACGGGGCAGTTGGAACAGCTGCAAGCTACAAAACGTTCCATCTACCATGTCTCAGGTAAATATTGGAGCTCGTGAGAGAGTTACTCAATGTTGTTTCCCGTCACTTCAAACATTTGATAGTTACATCATATGGTTGTCATGTATGAGTCTGTGACTTAATAGCTGTCAGCGATTGTACTCAGCCATGATTTAACATAATATCCTACGATATAACAGGCATACATTTACTTTTAATGTGGTTTTCGTTTGTAAAATCTCAGCAATGTGTAATCAGTCCATCAGAGAAATAGCACCAGGAACAACAATAACAAGTTTAGGTTTACGTTTGTCAAGTCTCATACAGAGCCAATATTTAAACTTCGATCCTGATGATGGACGAACACAGGTTATGGTTTTGTTGGGAAATGGTAACTTCCACAGATGTTGTCGTGGACTGACCATTAACATTCATTCGGTAGGATTGAGTTTGTTACAATCAGGGATTAACTAGTTCCGGTGCCAGCATGGAAATATGTGTAGGGACCACTATTATATATTCATACACCATTAAATGAAATCTTCCAGAATAATACCTTTAATGTTCGTATGAGTATTGCCCCAGAGTGGGTTATGTCGTTTTATATCACACATTATGACGCAGGTATTCGGAAGCTAGTCATGAACCGCGCTTGAAGATCATTTTGCTAAAGAGCGCAAAGTAAAAACAATGTACTTATCAGAACTGCGACAGCCTGGAGAGGGTTCGAAAGTGAGGCAGGGCTGTCTTGATAGAAATGACGATACACCAATAGCTTTAATTCCTGACGGAGAAAGTGACTCGTAGCAACTGTAGAAATCAGTTAGTGTAATATAGGTCTCCTTGAGACGGAATGCTAACTACCGATAATCTTCTACTAACATAATTAAACCCCAAAATAGATCATTTTAAGAAATGTGTGTAAAAACAAAATACACTGCACAGGGCTTAGCATGACCAGACTATTGATACAACCGGCCAGAGGCCCAGATAAGCTGCATATTTGGGTAAAATACGCACAGAAAATTTCCAATTACGCATTGAAAGATAATTGTTGCGTACCAACTACGCATTTAAAATGTTAGATAAGCACAAGTTTAAAACATATGCGTACGGAATATATCTATAAAAATCACTTGCGTAATGAAAAAGACATTGATTGGTATCAGGTTGTATTGTTAGTATAGGACAAGTGTTGTACTGTCAGTACAGGATGAATGATTTTTGTATGAAATCATTTCCATTATATTTAAGTTGGTTTTGCTTCAGTATGACATAAGGCAGTACATACCTGCTTAGTAAACTTACTCAATGACATATACGTAGGTGAGTAAAATCACTGAAATACGCACATATTTGAAAGCAGTGGGTAACGGAAAATGAAATACCCACTCAACATTCATAATATCCACTCCAAAAAATGTCAGTGGGTACAGTACCCACATGAGCTAAATCTTATCTGGAGCTCTGTCAACCGAGCCTATTCTACCAACAGTCTAGGTGAAGTGAGTGTTGAAGTGGTGTATTGGGTAAAGGAATGCTAGTCCTGGAATCAGTACCCTCAAACAACTGTATCCCAACGACACAGGGGCGCAACCCACGTCACACAGTCTGCCCAACTTACGCCCAGTAATGGGGTGGTGAGGACCAAAATATTACGAAGGTCCATGTCATCAAGTATAAACTATCAAGTATAAACTATCAGCTAAACAACCTGCTGAAAAGGGGAATGATCTATTTTAGTATGAGAATAAGTTAAAGATATATTCGTACTGAAGACAGCTTCTGAAGACCTCTTCTGTTTTGCGTTTTGTTGAAATATAAAAAACGTTATATATGGGATAACACTTTCTCAATAAATATGACACAAACAAATTTTGTTGTTTTGATTCAATATTACATTTACAGAGATTGCTTGATATTGTCCATAATATCAGAGGGAACCAGCATCTTTTCTGGCCTGGTAACGTTTGCCGTTCTAGGGTCGATGGCACAGAAAATTGGTGTTCCTATAGCAAAGGTAGTTTCAACAGGTAGGGGATTCGTAGTCATGTTATAACGCTAGTAAAGTCACTGCAATGATAGAGTGGGGAGTACGGCCTTACTTTATGTAGACAGAACGAATTATGAAGCTCCAAAAACGTGTGTCCCGACGTGCCGGAGTCATATCCATTTTCGTACCTCTTCAATTTGCTATTTCTTCTAAGTTTAAAAAAAAGGCAGTGCCATATATACACCAAGAGAACCAGATATCTTATCAATATCAAACTGAACGTACATTTGCATACGACAAGAAATTATACTACCAAAATGGAAGGGAAGGTGTAAGGACATGAACTAGAAGTAAAATTAAATCAGGACGTGCAGATCAACATCAGATGTGTTTGGCGATACATGCACGACATTAATGCTGATTGACATGCCCATGGAATTTATCAACTGTGCTTATGATTGCTGGATTTCTAGGCCTAGATTTTCGAAGCTCTCTTAGCGCTAAGATAGTCGTAAGTGTCATACATTAACATTAAATTGCGACTATCTTAGCGCTAAGAGAAAATCTAGGCCCTGGTGTTCTGCCATTAATGTTTACACGGAACTTGCAAGGGGCCATTCCAATACCTGTATGCATTCGTATTGGAGATGAGGCCCTGGACACGTTTTTGTATACGACTGTCAACATGCAATTAAACTATTGCACGCAAATAATCAGTACAATTTGACAATCATGAAATGGGTACACCTACCATTTCTGATACCGCCTAATGGCGATTATGGTTAAGAAATGGTCCCCTGGCATACCTCTCGCCGCTCCATTGAGAGCTATGTTTTCTATCATTAGTGAATTATAGGCACATCTTTTGCGAAAATCTCTTTTGATCACAGGAACTGTTTTAAATCTTTGTTTTGCTTGCTGTTTGTTCTTTTACGCTACACTTAGCAATATGAGTCAGTGAGTGAGTTAAAATTTAAAGTGACATCGGTAATATTTCAGCCATATCGTGACTATGAGTGTTGTATATCAAAAATAAACTCAGACAATATAAATATCTGTCAACGAAGGACAGTAACATATCTAGAATATCACAGATGCAAACTTAAAACTAGCATGTTATCAATAATTAATATTTCTACAGAACAATACAATATAAAAATGGGCTTTACATCGTCAAAAACTGAAGGTAGATCACCATACTAGGGACCATAGGTACTTACAGTACTTTGGCTACCTGCATGGACCCCTCAGCAATATGACGGTGGCAATATGACGGTGGTCAGAAAATAATCGAGTCTGGAACTGACAATCCAATGGTCACCAGCATGGGCATCGACCTACACACTTGGGATACGATGACATGAGTCAGCCAAGTCAGCGGGCCTGACCGCATGATCCCGCTGGTCGCCTCCTACGACAAGCTCGGATTGCCGAAGACCATTTGTAATCTGGATATTCAGGGTACACCTTCACACCTTACACCTTTTTTCGGATTAATTAAGTCATGTCTGAGTGTCATTTGTTCAGGCCCACAAAGTATAGTTCTATTCACAACTTCACTCCGTTCTCGGTATGTGTTTTGACAAATCCGGACTCCCTAAGGTATATATCAATTAACGTACCCTCGGCAAATACGTACACCTGAACATTTTTTTTTGAGAATCATGTAATTATGTGCATGAATATGTTAGATGTTATTCTTGTAGGTCCAGGTTTGGGATTTGTAACGTATCCAGAAGCTCTGGCCCAACTTCCGCTTCCTCAGCTGTGGTCGTTCTTGTTCTTTCTGATGTTGCTGATGGTTGGTTTGGATTCGCAGGTATGAATTCAAGTGTTCAACGTGTTCACTGGGCTGATATTGCTTTTATATATGACCACCAGTGCTGAGTCCTGAGTTCATGTTATACTGTAGAATAACCGATTAACAAAATGTGAAGAAAAGAGCTTATTTGTAGGACAATTATAAATATATTTAGTCAACTGAAATGTACGCTTAGTTTATGAGTCCCTTCATTATGATCATTCAGACATTTTTCTTGCTCCAGTTCCTGGGGATGGAAGTAGTCATAACTGCTCTGGTAGATGAGTACCCACGGCAGCTGGGAAAGAGGAGGCTGCTTGTAACAGGAGGATGTTGTCTCATACTCTTTCTTTTTGGAATCGTCTTTTGCACGCAGGTGATCTTTATACAACACAAAATTAACAAATCGGACCAGGGATCTGGGGGATGCATAAAATGAAATGAAACTATTTATAGTAATGTTATTAATCACAACCAAATGTCAGTGTCCACGTGTTAGGAGTACCACCACCGTGGTTGGCACAATTTACTCTACAAGTCGAAGGTGTGTCCCAAAGTGCAAGTGTTAGTGTAACGGTAACCATTGAATACAACTTCCAGCAGTAGCTAACAAAACCAAAGAAGCAGTCACACCAGTCATTACTGACAGCAGTAACAGTAGTAATAACATAGAAGGCTATTTAGGTGTTAGATACAACACTGGTAGCAATTGTAGAGTAATGCTGCTTCTGTTATTGTTGCAGTGATATCAGTATTTGCAATGGTATTAGCCAATAATTATACTAGTTTCCCATACTCATCTCTGTCTTGCAGGGAGGCCCGTACATGTTCCAGCTGGTAGACTGGTATATAGCTTCTCTGGGACCTATGGTGTTTTGCACACTGGAGTGTGTTGCCGTCATGTGGATATATGGTTGGTATATACAACTTCAGCCTACAACGTCTCTATTTCAAACTGCAAAATCGTTACTTCAAACACAACATCTGTGAGAAATCAATTTAAAGGTAAATATCATGCTGGAGCTAGGAAGATGTATAGCCTCTGTGGGCATACTGTGTCCAGGTGAATATATGTTTGTTTCAGGGGCAAAACGATTCAGCAGTGACGTCGAGATGATGACTGGAAAACTTCTTTCACCGGCTGTTAAGGTTCTCTTGGCATTTGTTACTCCGGCAATCATGTTGGTAAGAAGATTAGTTTAGAGACGTCTTGATTTTTCTTTGTATTGGTGAATGGCACCATACTAGAGCCCACAGCTCTTTCCTAGACATGAGTGAGTGAGCATCGTTTTAGGACACATTGAGCAATATTCCAGCTACCTCCCTGCAGGAACACCATAAATGGGATTTACAGATTGTACCAATTTGGTGAATTCTTCTCGAGAAAGCTATGATACAGGTGTTCGGAAAAAAATGATAATTTTGAACAAGCTCGAAAAGCAGACACCCTAACGAAAGGATTCATATCAAAACATTACATAAAATTTAGTTAGATATTTTAAATGTCAATACCAGGAACACTTATGTTCTTCTCTGCTTAGACAGATTCCACAGACTGTATAATGCAAGATAGTGGGAAAGTTACAGACAAGGCCGACAAGGGTTGTTCGCCAACGGACCAATCCTTGTGTCTACGGCATTGCAAAGGCACTGATCTTGGCCACCCTGTGACCTGTTACCGGAAGCTTGGGTTGCTAAAGTGAATTATTTCTTGGATTGTCATGGGTCTTAAAAACAAGTACAGTGTCTAGAGGCGCTACTTGGTTAGCGTCATTCACTGCGGTGTACATCTAAATACAATCATTGCTGCTTGTCTTACCTTTCATTCTATATTAAAGTTATGCTCTTTGTATATGCCACCTTCGTATGGAAATGGGCATAACCTTCTACACGGGGAAGTACACGCACAAACAATAAGGTGGAGCTATTGAATATTTTATTTCTGATGATATTTTACGTGTTTTATTAATGATTTACACACTTCTTTACATCTATCCACTGAAACCTTCTGACCTCGGTCTGTCACGTGCAAACATAAACCTGTATAAGCTATTTACTTGGCACTCGTTACCACTCGCCCCTTTCCATGACTTAAAACAAGACTCGTTTGTTTGTCTCTCCCCTATCGATGAACGTTATGTGCAAAAATACGACAAACCAATCGGAACACGTGGAAGGATTGATGTATTGTGATATTAATACTCCCAAAATTGTCTAAAACTCATGAAAAATATAAATCGTTATTTTGACACAGAACATAACTAAAAAAATTGCATTATTTAATGAAGGTAGGGCGTTAAACGCAGAGTGGCGTTGAATCCACTCAGTTGCGTTTGTTGACATGATGATTCAATTGAGTGTTTTCCGCGACAATCTTGCAGGCTGGCTTTTCAGATTTTACGTACGCTCTGCGACATTTTCGGGTAATAGCTACCAGGTTGTACTGATTACCCGTGATTAGATCTTACACCCATGATCTAATGCAAATACTCAAACAGGCATAAATAACTGACGTGAAATTAAAGCAACTATCGGTAACACCTTCTGGGGTTGTCAGTCCAAATTGGAAGAGGTTATCATGCGTGTATGTCATTTTTGCAGCAAGAGGTGTACGCGTATGAATATCATTCGTTTTGCTTCCCTTGGATGAACGAATCGCGGTCAAGCATGCTTTGCTTTACTGTATCAATTTGTCCACCTCGCGGGATAAATAGTTCACTGTTTGATCCTGATAGGATCCTTTAAGTGTACTCATATAATTCCTAGCTTTCTAAACGAAATGTATTAAGTTGACATTTTCATGTATTGTAATGATTAAGTTAATTTTAAATTTGGTCCAGCGAATAAACATCAATGATTGTTAGTGACTGTACCCTCAAACGCGGTTCATGTTGTGAAATATATTTGGCTTAGGGAATATAGAATCGCATCATTCACAATATGTTCATCTTTGCCAGGTTGTAAACGAAAAAAATTTCCTTCGGCTAAATTTGTTGATAATCACCAGTTGTTAGAGATATGATGTAAATGCATGCAAGATGTAATGGTAAAAGTCCTTCTGGACCCAAATAAGGTGAACAAGCTTTGGTTGTTTTTTCTTCTATTTTAATGTTCAGTGGTATACTTTTATTGTCACATGCTAGTTTTAAACAATATCTGTGATAGTCTTACTCTGATGACAAGTACCCACAAAAAAAGGTTTATATAGGATTATGAATTACCTCATACAATATAATTGCACCCAGACTGAATTTGCCATTTATGTTTCAGATAGTTTTCATCCTTACAATTATCAGCTACCAGGCACCGACCTATGGCAAGTACGTGTTTCCCAGCTACGCCAATATAATCGGTTGGTGTTTCGCCGTGGTGCCTCTTCTCCCTCTACCGATCATCCTGATCACTGCTGTCAGAAAACATAGGGCGACGGGTTCCCTGAAGAAGGTACAATATAATTTAACTGTAACAGCACCAAAGGATAAAATATATCCCAAGCGTATTGCCGATGTCACGTGTTGATTCCACAGTTGAATAGTTTCCACATTTATATGGGCAGAATGGCCTTTGCTGAGATGACAGGTGACCTAACGTAACATCTGAGTCATCTGAAACCGCATTTTGTACCTTGGGACCAGCAAAGTCAGCAATGCGTCGAACTTTCTTTACAAGTCACACTTTTTATGACTTCAAATTCGAGATGATAGGCACTATACTTAACCCGGGATAATTATGTCTAACTGGTGCATAGCCTTAATGAAAATAACAAACATGAAATCGGAAACCAGATCTAACTGAATATACCTTGGCCAACCTTTGTGAAGAAGAGCTTTATAAACGTTTGCACAGTAATCTGAGCGTGAATTGTCCGGCATGTACAACAGACCACCTGTAATTAATGATGACCCTGCTGGGATGGTTTCAAATGGGAGCTCTTTCTTGGGGTTGCCTACCATTAACCCATTTATTATTAGTAGTAACTTCAATATTTCTTCACTTAAACGCTATCCGTTTAAATACAAGCAAACTTGTTTACGTTTGTTCATATTTTCAGAGTGTGAAACTGGCCTTGAAGCCTGATAAGGCTTGGTGCCCGGCAAATGGCAGCTACAAGGAGGCCCCACATGATAAATCAACAGACACAAAGACACACCTTTAAGGACAATATCTTTGACATGTTTAAGTAACCCGCCATGAACGTTTAACCTAAAGCATACTAGTCCACTAAGCAGTTTGTCAGACCTCACACTATATAGATAGTTTACATCCATCGACCACAGGCAAACTGTAGCGCAAATAGGGTTGCGCAACAAAGAGAAAATGACCAGTCTTCCTATATGCGAGCGAAGCGATCAAAGGTTTGGCAACGTGCTGCCCTCGCTTCGGTTCGAATTTTTAATAACATAATTAAATATCGCCACCATCAAAAGTAGACACACACCATTTCCTGCCAAGGTTGTTCTCTCAGATTTCCAACTCATATTTAGTAATTACTCACGTAAAACATATTTATTTCAAAATTTTAAGCGCTACTCGTGCCATACCGAACCGTTCTTCGCCTCCATTACCCCATTACTCTTTTTCTTAGAGTTCAAGAATGCAATAACTATCGATCCTGTTCCGTTTTTACGAGATCGAAAAAACTGACGGACATTGATATCCGCAGGATATGGTGTCCATTAGAGGATTTTGTAACATGTCTTAAAATTTGCATTACAATAGGGTTTATACATGAAGTAATCAAACTCGTATAAATAAAATATTGTACCATGACTTCAATGAATACTGGATTGTGATTGGTTACATAAAGTCATTCAGAAGTGTATAATCACGTTATACAGGTCTCTGATTTGCCGTGAGCAATTAATACATGGATCACAGTAATCGACTATTTTTCGTCTGTCTATTAACATGGCGGGACACCACACAAACTACAATCTGTTTGGGTTCAAATGAGAACAATGTATGATGAAATAACTTCGAAATAGGGATATGTGCACAAACATAAATACGGCACATGGTCCTGAAACCTCTGTTCCCAACAGGATCTGAAATCAGCCGTTTTAGGATCAATCTGGCTTTATATGAGAACCCGATGTATAATTAAATAAATAACTCGAAATGGGATAAGTGCAATAAAACATAAATAAGGGCACATACGGTCCTGCAACCTCTGTTCCCAACAGGATCTCGGAAATCACGCCGTTTTAGGATCGATCGGGTTTACATATTAGAAGGATGTATGATTAATTAAATAACCTGGAAATAGGGATAAGTGCACAAACATCAATAAGGCGTGGTCCTCCAAAACCCTGTTCCCAACAGGATCTGAAATCAGCCGTTTTAAGATCGATCACGGAAAACATATTATTTAAGAAAGTATCATGTAATAATTCTTCTATACCTGAAACCAATAAAAAGAACAGAGGTTTACCTTGAAAATTACAGCTTTCATCTGCCTAATTGGACAAAATTAACCAAACTGAGGATTGAGTTCACACTTGACAGTTAGGGTTAACACATTTTCGGGAATCTCATTTAGAGTTCACAGACAAAATCATCAAAAATTGAGCTCATTAAGATGCCTGAAAGTCAGATTCGTGGATTCTCCACGGGCATCGATGACGGCGTTGCATCATGGAATGAATTCAATGGTTGAAGAAGGCCATAGGCATTTGGGTCCATATACTCTGCAGAAATGCCCGATCGAGTCTAGCCAGCAGTTGTCGGCCTTGGTTGGAGGTCATTCAGTCTTTCTTTGAATCTCGTCCCAAAGGTGTTCGAAGTTGATCCTATATCCGAGCAGGCTGAGTACAGGTCAATGTAGGTTTGGATGCCATGTTGTCTCTGGGAAGTCCAATCTTACCCTGGCAGTGTGGGCACGAGTGTTGTCTTGCTGGAAGAAATGATTTTGTGACGTAGAAAATGTGGAACAACGTGGGATCTTATGACTCGTCCGGGACCGATATTCTGGAACACCGCGGGGCCAACTATCTGGTTCAGACCGATTGCAACCCACACCATGATGCTTGACCACCCCACGAGTCTCTGTCAACAATATAATCATTGAAAACCGTCCCCACGCCTTCGCAATACTCTCACTCTGCCATCGTCGTGTCGAAATAAATATCGGCTTTTCATAAAGTACAGTTCTCCATTGTCGATAACGACAATTTCGATGTTGAGTTGCCCATTGCAGTCGGCCTTTGACGGTGACGAGCGGTGAGACAGACAACGATATAGTCTGTGACAGCAAGCGTCTCTTCTGCGCAAAAGTCGCCGCGCTGTATCGGCACTAATGGGTCTGTTGTGAGTCCCAAATGGTCTGGAGCGCAGTTTGCGTCGCCCGGTGAAGAGGATCCTGTAGATGGTTGCGCACAATCTGTCAGTCTTGACGTTGTGATGTTACTTCGAAGGTCGTCCACTGCGTTGACGGTCTTAGATGCTGTTTGTGGTCTGATACTACTCCTGCAGTCGGTAGATTGCCTTAACATGAATATTAAATGTTTGAAACGCTCTCCCGTGCAGTCTCTGGCCAACTTGCTATCATCCCAAGGATTGGTTCCTCTGATCTCGTGGCATTGTGTTTATGTCAAAAGAAAATGATTTCAGGCGAGTATGAGACTCACTTTCATTGGTAGGGTTGTCACGATATGCACGTGCATTTTCATTTTCTCACAGAATGTCATACATAACCTTTACCATGTCTGCCGTTTTAGGTGCGTTTAGAGCGATGTGCTTGTTCATCAGGTGCGTGAGAGGAGTTAGTATTTAACGTCACATCGGCAATATCTCAGCCATATCGTGACGAAAACAATTATGCAAAATAACGTGAAAACATTTTGAAGATTAAACCTGTCGACGATGGACAGTAAAATACTAGAGATTCACAGATATGAAAGTTAAACTAGCGAGCAAAGCAAAACATTTCAATTAAAGAAGACAATACAGCATTAAACACGGGCTAAAGATCGCCAACAACTGAGTGAGTGGGAGTGAGTGAGTGAATAATAATATTTAACGTCACATCGGCAATATTTCAGCCATATCGTGACGAGAACCTTTACATTGTAATGGAATAGGTATATATTATAAAACCTGTCACCGAAGGACAGTAAAACAACTAGAAGATCACAATTAGATTTTAAAACCAGTGTGGAAGATTAAAACTAATAGCACTATTAGATGTGACGATACAATATAAAAACAGGTTAGTAGATCGCCAACAACTGAAGGTAGATCACCATACTAGGAACCATATGGACTTACGTTACCTTTTGCTACCTGCATGGACCCTAGCTGGATTTACACTATCCCTTCAGCCTCTGGCGATTGTATACCAGGGCAATATAAAGAAACTGTGCATACAAACATTTAAAATCTAAATTTATCAAACCTGTGTGTAGACACATACAATGATGTAAAGTCAGAGATCAGTGACATGTATCCAACATGCATGCACGTGCCACGTTCCGTGACGTCAGTGGGTACGTCCTTGAGACGTGCAATACGTTTGTTGCACGTGCATTCCGGGAAAGAGAAACAGAGCAAAATGAATGTCACACAATACTGTCACTTTGAAAGCTCAACCCCGCCCTTGCGATCACCGTTCAAAAATTAAACGGCTATTGAAACGCATAGCATGCCAAGGCTCACGTCTGCACAACGTCATGAGGAGCATTGGGATGGCAATGTGGAGAACGTCTCAACGACACATTTCCACTGCCACCGAAACACCATTTCTGCACTGGTGAGACGCTACCAGGAACACAGATGACGTTTCTGATCGGCCACGTTCTGGACGTCCACGTGTAACAACGCCAACGACAGGACATATGGATAAGGGTGATCCATCTTCGCCACAGGTTTCTATGGTGTCCTATAATTGCCATCGCGTGGCGTATAAAAAGACGACGTCTTACGCGACGTCGCTTTGTAAATATATTCGGCTACAAAAATAACGGGCGACGTCGTGGGCGACCTCGTGGCCGCAGTCTGGACTATATCGAGTAGTTATCGGCCTCTGAACGTGGCTTGACCAAGGTTACGTCTAAAAGAAGAATCGTTAAACGAAAGAGGATTTAAAACGCAAAAATGCTTCAGTCACTCCTGATAAACATTTCTGTCGACCCGAAAATGTTTTACACCTATATCCAATCAAAACCACCCTAGAAGGCCACTGTTCATTGTATGAAAGGCATACCCATCTGCAAATGAAACGATCTTCTTCCCCACACTCTAAACATAATCACCGCCACTATTGTTCGGTCCGGCATACCTCGGGCCGTCAAAGCAGCTTAAACTCTACACATGTATCTTGAATTGCGTTTTAATTCACAGATTAGTATTACATCTACCTATATATCACTTTTCCAGCCTTTTTCTCTCCATATTCACCCGTGAAGGTCCGGATTAGAAAAGTGCCTTCAGTAACCCATGCTTGTCGTAACAGGCGACTAACGGGAGCGGGTGGTCAGACTTGGTTGACATATGTCATCGGTTCCCAATTGCGCAGATCGATGTTCATGCTGTTGATCACTGGATTGTTTGGTTCAGACTCGATTATTTACAGACCGCCGCCATATAGCTGGAATATTGCTGAGTGCGGCGTAAAACTAAACTTTCACTCACTCACTGACTCGACTCCATTTTCAACATAACCTCAATCAAAAGTAGCAGTTGTCTTGGCCCTAATTTCGCCTGGGCTGTCAAAGCAACTTAATCCTCACACATGTATCTTTGAAATCTCACAGATGAATCCTCTAGATTCTGTTTACATCCAATGAATATAGTTAAATGTATCTAAATACCACTTTATAGACCCAGTTTTCTTTGTAACATCACAATGTGGCATTTAGGTAGATATAATACTGATCTATGGATTTAAACACATTTCAAGATACATGTGTGAGGTTTAAAAGCACAATTAAAGATACACCTTTGAGGTGTTAGGTGTTTTGACGACCCGAGCCAAGCCGGACCGAACGCTTGTGACTCAGTGTGTTTGTTGAGAATATATAGAAAAGAAGGCTTCACTTCGAGCAACGTGTTTGCTTGAAATACAACGCTTTGCGACTCTATAAGAAGTATTTAAGTAGACAGTAATACCACCTTGCCTTCATGTGTACTCGCAAATTTAAGCATATGCATACGGTGGCT